TGCTGTGGACGATACGGTTACGTACCTGTGATATCTCCGGCTCAATTCGTACGCTCAAGTCGACGCCGTGAAATGCGTCGTAGACAGACTCTGCAAGTTTCCCGAGTGAAGTTATTCTGTAAAATTGCACAGACATGAAAATCTATAGAAGCGTACCACAGCTAGAACAGCCCTGCCCGATAGACCTGTGTCAGGTGTGTCATCGCAGCCGCATATAATCCGAAAAAACACAGTCTAAGTTATCCCTTCATTCGCTGCTACTTTAATGAGCCGCACCCACTCAGAAAGAAACACATGATCAATCATTGTCTCGATGAGCGAGCGACACCGTCACACGAGCATGACGATATGATTTTGACGTGTTCAAGACTTTAGCAGTTATATCAACAATGGCAACCGTGAAATATGCTTCGCTTATGGCAATGCTTTTTAGAACGTTAATGTGTTTTGAGGTAAATGTGCTCGATACACCTCCCCAGCTTATTAAAAAACGTGTAATTCGATGGCTTATTCGAATGCCTGAAAGAGCTAGTTTCCGCGCCAAAACAACCGATGAAACGGCGTCGAAGGCGAGTCAATTCTCGCGTTTCACAGCTCCAGGTGATCTGCGACGGTTTTCGTCAACAAATACTGAAAAAAAAAAGACGCCCCATATTTCTTGTGCCTTCCCACATAAATCCCCGTGAAAGCTCGTCAGTACACAATTTTTTTAGCACGGCCACAAACAGCGCACGCATCAGCGAAACCACACCAGAAACTGCGGTAGGCGCAGCGGCTTTTGCCTGCCAAACGAAACGATGGATGGATGGATGGATGGATGGATGTGGCTGTACCCTTTAGATCGGGCGGCGGCTAACGCCACCTAGCCGTAATACATAGTGAACTAACCATTACATTTATCTTTTTTTTTCCTTTAAATAATGAAATTGAGGATTCGTACTTTGCAGTGAAGGGTTTAATTTTCACTCGTGCCTTGACTTTAGCCACCAATCAGATAACCTCCTTCTAGTTAAGTCTACCCGCTTAAAGTCTATTTTGCCCTCGCTGTCCCTAAATCCCAGTGCTTTGAAAACTCTGCGCCATCATCCTGAACTATAGGGTGAAGCCCTTTACAGAACATTATCAAGTGTTCGGCAGTTTCTTCTTCCTCTCCACACGCACTGCATACTGTGTCGACCCCTTCGTATTTGGCCCGATATGTCTTGGTTCGCAGTACTCCCGTCCTGGCCTCAAACAGTAGAGAACTACCCCGAGTATTATTATAGATCCTTTCCTTGGCAATTTCCTGCTTAAAAGTTCGATAGATCTCTAGTGCGGACTTCTTAATCATGCCCATTCTCCACATGTCAGTCTCCGTTTCCTTCACTTTTTTCTTAACCGATAGTTCTTTTTGGTTTGGCCACCTGCTGTTTTCTAAGTATTTACCAGTCAACTTCCTGGTTCGCTTCCTTCATTTTGTATCGACATTCTTCATGTACAAGTAGCTGAAAACCTTCCTAGCCCAACGCTCTTCCCCCATTTCTCTCAATCGCTTCTCAAATTTGATCTTGCTGCTAGCTTCCCTGCCCTCAAATGATGTCCATCCCATATCACCTTGTACTCCCTGATTTGGTGTATTCCCGTGAGCTCCTAAAGCAAGCCTACCTATTCCACGTTGCTTAATTTCTAATCTTGCTTGAACTTCTGATCTCATACACAAGACCGCATTGCTGAACGTCAGCCCAGGAACCATGACCCCTTTCCATATTCCTCTCACAACATCATACCTATTGTAATTCCACAGTGCCCTATTTTTCATGACTGCTGCATTCCTGTTACCTTTAGTCGTCACATATATTTCGTGTTCCCTCAGATACTCGGCCCCATTGCTTATCCATACGCCCAGATATTTGTATTTATCTGTTATCTTTAGCGTGACCTCCTGTATTCTAAGCTCACTACCTTCGTTGTCATTGAAAATCATGACTGCTGATTTTTCCCTACTGAATCTAAAATCTAACCTATCTCCCTCATTACCGCAGATGTCCATCAATCTCTGCAAATCTACCTTGTTGTTGGCCATTAGCACTATATCATCTGCGTACATTAATGCTGGTAGTGCCTGATCAATAAGTTTTCCTAGTTTGACTAAAGAGAGGTTGAAGCCCAGTCCACTTCCCTCTAATTTTGCCTCTAATCCTTGTAGGTACATCATGAATAATAAGGGTGACAGGGGGCACCCCTGCCTAAGCCCCCGTTTTACCTCTGCCGGCTTGGATACCCGTTTTTCCCACTTTATAACTACCTTGTTACCTTTATAGACACCCTTTAAAAGATTAGTGACTACATGTTCCACGCCTAGTGTGTCCAGTATTCCCCACAATTCCTCTTGAACAACGCTATCGTACGCTCCCTTTATATCCAAAAATGCTAGCCACAGGGGCCTGTGTTCTTTTTCTGCTATTTCGATGCACTGCGTCAGTGAGAACAGAATGTCTTCCAACCTCCTGTGTTTCCGAAACCCATTCTGCAGTTCCCCCAGCACCCCCTCATTCTCTATCCACGCCTGCAGTCTTTCCTTTATAATCTGCATCGCCAGCCTGTAGACCACTGATGTCACTGTAATAGGACGGTAGTTGTTTATGTCAGCTTTGTCCCCCTTTCCTTTATAGATCATGCTTATCCTGCTAAGTTTCCATCCATCGGGAACTTCACCATCGATTATTATTGTACTCACTGCCTCTCTCAAAGCCTGCTTAGACTTCGGACCTAATGTTTTTATCAGCCTAATTGGAATGCCATCTGGGCCTGTTGATGTACTACTAGGAACCCTTTTCTCAGCCCTTTCCCACTCTTGTTGTGAAAATGGAGCCATTGCACCACTTGATTCGTCTTTGTCTATTGTGGTGCATAAAGTACTTCTTTGTTGAAATTTTTCTGTCACCCTTGTTCTTATATATTCAATAGCTTCGTCCCCTTCTAGCCTAGCACCTTGGGCTGTAGTTATAAAGTTCTGCTCTAGGCTCGTCTCATTTCTTAGGGAGTTTAGATGGTTCCAAAATTTCGCAGCTGCCTTTCTATCTTTTTTATGTACTTCTGCCAGCCACTGAGCTCCCTTCCTTCTAATCTTTTCATTGATCAGAAGGGATGCATCCCTTCTACAGCTTAGAAAGGTTGCCCATTTTTTTTCCACATCATCTGTCGGTTCACCCCGCTGCTTAGCATGCCTGTGTTCCCTAGAGGCTTCCTGACGTTTTGCTATGGCTCTCTTAACTTCCTCATCCCACCAACTTTTGGGTTTGTGTCTTCTTTTCCAGGGTGACTTGTCACGCGTCTTAGCAAGCTCTATCTCAAAGAGTCTAATTAGATTCGTGTATGTCCACACTGTCTTATTATCCTCCGTGATTACTTTCTCAATTTGTTTAGTGGCTATTTCAATTTGCCTTTCTGGATAAAAATTTTCCTGTAGTTGCTCATCTTGTCTCCTACCCACTTTCACTGCTCTTCCAAAACTTAGGTTGATACATTTTTGATCGCTACCCAGACTTCTGTAGCCACCTTCATCTATGTGCATTTCCCTGAGCTTATCATACATCCTATGTGACATCAGTGCATAATCTATCGTCGACTGAAGCCTTCCTACCTCCCATGTTATTTGCCCTTCACACTTCTCGGTACTGTTGCAAATGATCAAATCAAGCCTTTCACACATATCCATGATCATTTTGCCTGTCGGGTCGGTATACCCATCTATATCTTCTATGTGCGCATTCATGTCTCCTAGTATAATTATCTCGCACTCTCTTCCTAACTCCTGAATGTCCTTTGATATATACTCTACCATTGCCTGGTTTTCCTCTCTGGCCTTTGCTCCCGTCCACAAGTACACAAAACCAAGGAGTGTCATTTGACCTGCCACTTTCCCTTATAGCCATAAATGTTCCTTGCACTCCTGCTTGACCTTTTGCCAGTCTGTACTTTTATGAATGAATGCCCCAATACCACCCCCCTTTCTGCTGCCTTCTGTTCTATTACAATACTCCCACGAAATGCCTGACAACAGCGCCACCGCATTTTCGTGATGCGAGTCCAGTGGAATTAGTCTATAGCTTTTCTAAGAGTGCTTTGTAGTCATTTCTATCAAGGTATGTTAACTTCCGTATACTGCTGCAAAGGAATCAAAGAAGTTTGAAAATCTATTGATGTACCCATTTTTACATTATTCTTTCCTGCGCTCAAATACATAAGCAGTGACAGAGCTATCAATAGCAGCAACGTGCTACACCGGAACGTCTACTTTCACGAGCCTATTGTATGGCCACTCAAGCACAGTGATTCCTACGTTGGCATGACTATTTTTCTCTGGACACTATCATCCCTTGGAACGTACCATATTGATCAAAGGACATAGAACCTATTGCTTTAATATCTAATGGCGTTTGTTGGCACTCAGATCCCAGCGCAGACGCGGCCGCGTAAAATAAGACATCGCGATGAGTTGATTTTTTTTTTTTGCAATTGCTGTTGCTGTGCCTCACGGAAGTGCAGGGCAATGCCTAACGTGAATCAATTTCGGCTAACTTTTTTTTTACCTTCTCACTGTGCATATTCCGTATTTTTTTGTATTTTTTTAGAACTCACTTCTCCCCGCCAGTTTTTTTTTTTGTTTTTTAGTGGTGCTTTGTTTCACTGAGCAAGCCTATTAAACCTGTTTCATCATGAATTAAAGAAAGTCGTTTTCAGCATAGATATAATGTCAATGAAAGATCACGTTGATAGCCGTGAATGAAATTCAGAATAAACCTTTACAGACTTCGCCGATGTCGGAGCGGAACCCAGGCATTCTGCGTTGCAGTCTATAGTTTTCTACTGTAAAATTACGCCTGCGTTTTTTAGCACATTTAGCGAGTGTCGATTGGTATTGTGAATAAGCCTTTGAAGTGCGCAACGCACAGTCCTCGCGGGCGAACCAGTCGACGCGCCCATACACTGCGCCACCAGTGGACACTTTGGAGCATGTCTTGCCCGAGAAATTCGTACACCGACCATATATTTGTCCAAATAAAAATAAATGCTCTAATGTGAACACTGGACTAAAAGCGGCAGCGGCGTCAAGACAGCAGCAGCGAGAACTGAACGGGGTCCTTTTTCACTACAATGCAAATAACAACAAACAGAACAAGTAAAGAGGTGGATCCTTAAATATGTTGCAAACATATTACGACTGATCGCAAGCCAGTACTGTCAAAGCTAAAACACTTGACTTGATTTTAACTGCAAGGTATTATAAAGAAGCAGGAGAGGTTGCCAGCGCAGTAGCTATGTGAGGCACTTCCTGGAACTAATTTAAAATCACTGCAGGAAAAAAAAGCAGCCCATTTATTCTCGCTTCCTCCATTGTGGAGAAGTAAACATGGTTCAACATGCATATAAAACTGGTTAAAAATTTTAAAATTGCAACACTTGGGTACCTAGCGCGATAAGGCGCCCTGTAACCTGCTCGACAGTGACAATGTCATCGACCTGGTGCATGAACCTACAGAGCCAAAAAAAGAATGCACATGCAAAATCGGCAAATCTTCGGTAATTTCCCTCTGCTTCTTCCTTCGGTGACGAAAGCCCGTCAGCAAAACCGCTACTGCACGTCTCCTACAAAGGGTCCTCTGCCAGGTGAAACCATAAGAACATGTCACTGCCGGACACAAAAAAAAGGAGCGCAAACATGCACACTGAGACAGTCTGCAGGATAAGGAACACTTGTCACCAAGTGGGCCACTGCACTCGCGTGCAGAATTCCAGAACATTATAGAGTCACAATGATGAAAGCGGCAAAAAATGTCAGTCGGTCACACCGCCATTCAATGTGATGTACACACCACGAAGCTCGCACATGTCTCTTCTATGCATAGGTGGAGGCGCGAGCATCAGAACGCAGTATACCACAGGTAACTCAGCACATGAGGTGTTTCATAATCCGTCACTGCTCTCGCTTTTTAAATAGTACTTTACCGGCACTGCCCTGGAGCGCCCTCCGTTGGCGGGACTTGAACGCGGCACGGCAGGCACGTCGTCATCGTCCGCAGAGGAGGAGGACGACAGGACCCTCATTTTATTGGTTGCCTTCTTCAGAGCTGACATAGGGTCGGACTCGGAGTCGTCCGCTGGAGCCTTCTTGTGTGCCCGAGAAACTGCGCCGAGTTTCTTGGCGGGTGGCTTGACGAAGTCCGTGTCACCTTCGTCACCGATGGTGTCGCGCTGCTTTGTCTTAGCCGCGGCTCCGAGCTTCTTCCGAGAATGTGCTCGTTGTGGAGCCTCACATTGCTGGCGATGCTGCGTAGCGTGCGGGGAGATTGAAAGTTGGTAAGGTGGGATGGTCCAAGTTGCGCAGAGATACACCAAAGAAGTTGTGGGAAAGAATGAAAAAGACGATTTGGTCAGAAAGAATCTCCCACTTAAATTTAAACACTGTGTATACAGGCGTTTTTTTACACGTTGAAGATCTCTCGACAGAATCCAATAGCATTTGGCTCCTGTCATTTTCGCGCATACACTACGTCGAAGTGGGGATACTATTCCGCAGTGACACACACACAGAGACAGACGCACAGACAGACAGACACACAGACAGACTGACACACACACAGACAGACACACAGACAGAAACACACAGAGACAGACACACACACAGACAGACACACACACAGACACACACAAAGACACACACAGACAGACAGACAGAGAGACAGACAGACAGATTCCTGCTACATTTCATGTCTTTTCTGTGAGCTCTTTTTAGTCTTTAGTGGGCGTCAACCACAGAGCACATAAACAACGACCTTGACTGAAAATAAAACAGTTTGCTGGCGTCTAGCTCCAACCTTGGCTCACATCGATTATGTCCACTGGGAAAACATATGAAATACACACAACAAGAGAAGTACAAAGCAAGTGCGATTTTTCTGCGTCTCTGTACAGCTAGTCCATCCCGTCATTTACGCATGCCCAGACGTATCTTGAGGCAATACACATTAAAAAAAACTGACGCTGTGCTCGTGATTTCACTGCTGTTGTGATCAAATGTTGCTTACGGACCGTTATGGCAAACGTGTTGCACGGCGTGACAGTGCCAGCGCCTCCTCTAAAAATAGAAGAGGCGGTGGACAGGGCGCTCAATCGTATACACATGTCTGCAAGCGTCCCCAGGGCTTGTTCTGTGTTGGCGCTGTCAAAGTACTTGTATGACCAGAAATAAACATTAGTCGCAGGTAAAAGTGCACCTACTGCAAGTCTCTTAATTATACTCTTCCTGTGTATCTAATGCCATGCACAAGTGCCGTTCAACATACCTTTAATTGAAGCCCACGCCTTTGCTTTTCAACAGGCTTTGTCGTTTGAGGCGGACCCCCGCTCGCCAACTATCTCGATGATGCATACCTTCTCCGCCTTCTAGTTTCATGCAAATTCCATTTCTAATTTAGTGATATACCTACTTAAGCAGGAGCTAAGATACATGTGCAATGGCGATGGGAAGAAACGCAAGCAGTGTGGGATCTACATCATCCACTGTTTCGCAATACTTTCCAAGCGGCTCTAGACTGGTTGTTAATAAAATGTCACTACTGTCATCCAGTATGCAATCAAGAACCATTATGGATTTTGCGTGCGTGCGTGCGTGCGTGGGCGTGTGTGCGTGCGCCACTGTGGTCAGAGTGTGATGAAAACAGTGTGCCGCACTGTTCGCGTTTCTTTTCATCCACTGTTACATTTAGACATCCAGAGGAACGGAAAAAGCTGAGACTTCGGCGACACAAATAAAACGTCGTGCTTTTTCCCATCTATTTCCTGGTGTCTATACGTTATAATTGTTACCAGTGCTTCGTATTTACAACCAGTGCGTTGCACTTACTGAAGGGCCCGCCACAGGCTCGAGGTCGTCTTCTGAACCCACGCTGTTGGGCGGCTCGTCGTTTCCCGAAGAATCGGAGCCCGACGGTGACTTCTTTCCCTTCTTGGACTTTGTTTTAGTCATAGAGGACGTGTCCTTAGTGGCGCCTCCTTGTTTACGCAGTGGTGCCTTGGTGGGTGCGGATTCTGTTCCCTGTTCAAGGCCGCCAGGACTGGTGAAGCTGGTCAACGTTGCAGCGTTGCCGTCCCCAACATCCCCGTGGCCATCGACAGCAGCATCGCTGGTCGCCTTCTTGGCGGCCCCGCGGCGCGCTCCGGTGGTTTTTGCCTTCGCTTCCCACTCGACCTTTTGCACAACGCGCTCCGCAAACGCCGTGGGCTTCGTCTCACTTTCGGCCTTATGAGACGCCACTGCCTGCGAGATAAATGCATATGTGAGAGCAGTCCTAGGTGTCGATCTAGCGTATGGGGTAATAAAGGGGCACGGCAACGTTTTCCGAACACGGTAAGGACTTTAGTGGTCTGCTGACATTAACACAACCAAACAGGTCGCCGCATACATCAACAAAGCACCTGCAGTCTCACATAAAACTTCATTCGCACACTTCCGCACCTATCATGTATAAGCTGTGCAGCATGGTCTCCAGCACCATCTCCTTGTACGCCTGAGTCCACACCCGGACCGGAAGCTCCGTGATTTCGATGCTGGTGGAGTTGAGCACGGCCACCTCGCCACTCACGATGAACCTCTGCTCTTCGACCCGAGCGACAGCAGCGCAGACAAATTTATTACCACACAGAACAATCAAATGAATTAAAGGGGCCCTGCAGCACTTTTCCAGGTTACTATAGAATGGCTTCATTCAAAGAGTTCGTTGCCTCACGAATGCACTGCTGCAAAAATGCTTGGAAGCCATCGAGTACGACCAGAGTTGGGAATTCGTCGCTTTCTTCTCGTACCCACGAGCGCGCTGGAAGTAATTCAAGGAGGGCTGGCAAAGCGGAAAGTTGCGTCACAAGACGTAATTCCTACAGGTCTGGTCCACACCCACCCTTGGGGATCCACGACTAATCGGGCAACTTAGAAAAAATATTTATATCCTATAAACGAGTATAATATTTCGTTTTGTAACCACAAAATGATTTTTAATCATTCTTGAGGCAAAAAACAATACGCAAATGAATTCATACCGGAATGAAAATAAACTATTACTATATCAGAAAATTCCCTGTAGCCTATATTGATTAACTAAGGACCTAGGGAATTGAATTTATTGTGCGAATCTGTCTAATGAAATCTAGCACGGCCTCGGATACTTTCCTGTTGCTGTGCCCAAGGGTAAGTGTATCTATAGATAGCAAATTTGAAGTTAAATCTAATTTAATGATGTGTAACGGCGTTTCTAGATATATTTCTTAGTGCAGAAAACTTTCTTGACAAGAGATCAGAAAGTGTTCTATAGTTGCCTCTCTCCTACAAAAAAAACAGTGGAGAGTGTGTCGTCGGATGTGTATGAATCAAAATTTAATGGTGGAACACGACAGCGTAACCTAGTGATTGTCACTTAAATACCTCTGTCATGACATTATGTTTTCCACAGTGTCAATAGATTATTAAAATATGGGGAATTTCTTAGAGATGGTGTCGAGAATTCTGGCATCATCATTTGCCTCAGAGATATCGCCGCTACTATGAAAGCTGTTGGAGTAATATAGCTGGTCTATCTTACACATATTTCGTTGTGCATCGGCTGTTTAATTTACAAACAAGCCCTTATGCCCAGGTATCCATACTAATTGAACATGAGGTAAGTGATTAGGTACTAGGGAATTGAACTCTTTCAATGCTTTCGAATCACCGAAGGCCGTGAGCGCACAGCACACTGATAGAGTCTGTTTTTGTAATGGCGGAATATATTGATGTGGTCAAATTACGGAAGGCTAATACCACAACTAAAAATTCTGTAATAAAAATGGGTGTGAAAGCTGGAATGCGGAGCTGCCTTTCAAGCACCACTATGGTCGAATTTGTCACAGTCAATGTCCGATCAGATATGGACCCTTCAAAATTTTAATATGCTTAAACTTATTACACTCTTATTGTGGCAAGGCTGCGTTTCATGCTTCACTACACTCACAAATGTATTGACTCAAGAAAATATGGGTTCCAATATGAAGATCACAGATGTGGCAGAGGTGTGAGCAAAATTTATGCTGTTTTGGACCTGGAATTCAGGCAGATAGTCTGAAAAATCAGACACTGAAAATTTTAGCCTCCAAAATTTCAGATGTTCTTAGAAGCGAAGAAAACTTTCTTCCAAGGAGAAGTATTGAGTTTCATAGAGTTAGGGAAGGCCACGCGAACTATGAGGACTGTCGAGTTGAGAACTGATCCGTAGTCAATGTAAAATGCAAGAGTGCTAAAAACGTGCGGCACAACCCCTATATAGAGGTAAAGCATCAGCCTCGCATGCAAGAGGTCCATGGTTTGAATCCCGGTGCCGTACAATTCCCAGCCGGATCGAAAAAAGCCTAATGATGAAATTGCACATACAAAAACGGCTTGGAGTGTGGCCTCACTGGCAACCACAGCAAGTAATTCATTCCCTCACCACAGCAGGATTGGTCACCCTGGTGCAGTGCTTCGCCACTACCTCCCTTGTGAAAGTACCAATTAACCCTTGGCTCTCAGTCCCCAGCGGCTGCGAAGCAACTGACCAAGGTGGCGGTCAGACGTGCACTGCAGCGAAGGGTGCTAAAAATCTCTGTGTCCCGACAGGCGGTGATAGGAATCTAAACTTGGCTACGTTGAACGCTAGAACGTAATCTATTTTGGAGAGCGTAGCTGCGATATTCGACTAATTAGGGGGTGTTAAATGAGATGTCATAAGTCTCAACAAAGTTAGGACACATGAGGTTTATGCATTGATGAATAACGAACACGTCCTATGCTATCGTGGCTTAGCTGACAGAATCGAAATAGGAGCCAGGTTGTTTATCCATAAAAAGTGGGCAACAAAAGAGTAATATCGCCTTAGTGAGAGCATGGCAAGTATCGTAATTAATCTAATAAGAGGTACTGCGAAATCAGGGAATCAACGAAGCCTAAACTAACATACCGGAAGGAATCAACAGCGGATTCACCGCTACCACAGTCTATCAAGAAAGTGACAGAAACCCAATACCTGATCTCCTTAATGCTATTCACCGTGCATTTACAGGAGATTGTTAGGGCCCCAGATTAGAAACGTAAGGATAAGAGTTGAGAGTATTTTATTAACTTGCGATTCGCTTATGGCATTGCATTGATGAGTAACTTATGGGACGCATTGCCGCTCGTGATTACCGGACACAGAAATCGAAGAGCAGTCTAAAAATAACATGCATAAAACAAAAGTAATGTGCAACAGTCTCGGCAAAGAACAGCGTTTAGCGATAGGTGGCGAGACACTGAAAGTTGTAAATGAATATGTCTACTTAGAACAGGTAGTAACTGCGGAGCCGAAGCATGAAAGTAAAATAACTAAAATAACAAGGATGGCATGGAGCACTATGCCTCACGAAGAAAGTATGTAACAGCTGCATACTTCCGGTATATGTACCTATGAGACAGAAACCTGGAGGACTATACAAAGTGGGTTCAGCTGAAATTGAGGAGGACGCAGACAGCGATGGAAAGGAAAATGACAGGTGTAAACTTAATAGACAGGAAGAGAGCAGTGTGTATCAAGGAACAAACAGTGATTAAGGACATCACAGCTAGAATCAAGAATAAATGAACATGGGCCATGCAGCACATACGCTAAATAACTGCACGGCATTAAGGATAACTGATGGGATTCCAAGAAAAGTCAAACGCGTGGGAGGAAAAATTTGGTGGGCAGACAAGATTAAGCAGTTTGCAGGTATAACGGGGCCGCAAAATACCGGTTCGGGTTGATTGGCGCAACATTGGAGACGCATTTGCCCTGCAGTGGGCGTAGTCAGGCTGATAATATATACTACAAAGTAGAGGACGTGCATTTTGAGAAATTCCAGCGTAGCATACATTCATTTGTACATGTTTGAATACTCTGATAATTTCAATATGTCCGCCAAATTGAAACCACTTTTTGAGTTCGTTTTACTAACCGTAAGACGCATGCCACAAGCCTGCCCAATCTACCTCTGTTCAGGCCCGTTAATATTCCCGGTCATTATTACGGTGAATTAGGAGCTACTATACTAGAATCAAGTTCGCGAGTCATTCCTCATACGGAAGTTCAGAGCTCTCTCATCTAGCATAAAGAAAATTCAAGTAAGCTGGCGTTTCATTCAGCACAGCATTAAATCAAAGCAGCATATCACAGTCTACTCATAATCGCTGTATACGCAGATTTCGGCTACACGTTTTCATTCAATCGTTCTTCTTTGCGTTTCTTTTGTGCTGGATCTTCGTACCCCTTCAAATTAACGCATCCTGTGTTATTTAATCAGACATTTGGCTTTTTTGTTTGCTATATTTGCTTGTTGAAATTATTTTCTTTCTTTGTCTATCTTAGCTGCTCAACTGTATGCTATTCTCGTGATGTTCCATGAATACGCCAGTGATGTCTTTACGCCATGCTCCTGTCACGGCATTACTACAGTAACTTACTGCAGTGAATATTGTGCGATACTTACAGATCATGTATTAGGCTTTCCTTATATTCCATGTCTACTTAATAAAAGTGCATTTCAGTCACATGTTTTCCTTGAAGAAGGCTGCTCTGTGGCTGAAACGATGGAAAAATAAATATCTTTAGTAGATTAAAACAGTGTATATATATATATATATATATATATATATATATATATATATATATATATATATATATATATATATATATATTATATATATATATATATATTTATGTGTGTATATATATTGTAGCGATGCTGAGGCAGACAGGTTAAAAAACAAGCGTATGTATAAGGGCAAACTTGTGCCCACAATTCTAAAAAGTTGCACCATGCTTTATTTGTAGTTTTATGGCTTTTGCACACTCACTGGTCCACCATAGCTTTAGCTTTGTTCCCACTAGTTCTGAGAACTGGGGAATAGCTTGCTCTGCCACAGACAGTATGCAATTGGTGATCTTGTCATTTATTTCATCTATGGTTAGGTGTTCAGAGAACCAGTTAGCTTTGTGAAGCATCCAAAACTGTGGTTGAGAGCGTATGGTCGGAAGTGTGATGTTAGTTTTCACATCGACGGTAGAGGTCACTACCGTAAGGGTTGTTTATTGTTTCCATGTAAAATCAGC